AAGAAAGAAGAGTGGTGAGAGAGTTTTTGACGTGCCTCTCTTATACAGCCCTGTTTTCGGACAGTGGCCGAATTTCATTTCTGCCAAGTTCCATGACGCGAATCAAGAATCATTTCCAAGTCATAGTGGGGGTGCCAAACCATGGCGTGTGACTTGGCGCTGATTCTTTTTCTGCCAAGTTTCATTACGCGAATGAAGAATCATTCCCAAGTCATATTATGACTTGGTGCTGATTTTTGTTTTGCCAAGTTTCATTACGCGAATGAAGAATCATTCCCCAAATCATGGCGTGTGGCCTGGCGCTGACTTGTCGCCAAGTCATCCTGACTTGGATTTGTACGGCTGAAATGGTCCACTTGTTTTCCACTTTCTGCTGAGTTGTTGTGCGTTCCAACCGAAAAGCCCCCTTGTCCAGATTCACCTTTCAATTGCCAATGAATGCACTGAAAAGTGTTGAAGAAACTCGATAGGGAGTAGTCGAGAGTTCGGACAGATGTCCGAAAAAGAAGACGGAATCCTCGCACGGCTGTACGCGAGCGTCGAGATAGGATTCTTCCATTGTGCAAGCGACACTCCAGTCCCCCCAGATGCAAATGCGGTAGGAAGGGACTCCTATTGCAGCGCATTCCCATGCGCCATCTATGCGAAGCGAGTATGAAGAACACAAGACTTGCGGAGGTGGGGTGACGCCAGCTTGAGACAAGCAAGCTTGGAGACAACGTGAGATGCTTGCCGATGACGGTGTGAGCCGTTGGCCCGGGAGGGCCCAATAGTAGCGACTCGTGGAGCGGGTGTTCCGGCGGTAACGGTCGTACCGTAAGACCAAGTCGATGAGCGAAGGCTTGTCTGGAGATAGTCTAGTGTAGGATAGGGTATGTGCCACTCGAGACCGATTTTTCCGTAAAGCAATTGCCAGGGTGATTGATTGTTCCGAAACTTGAATGTTGTCCATGCGAAGCGCAGCGCCAGCCTCCCCCTTTCGAAGAAGACGTAGGAAACCAGAACAGCCGTAGCGTTGCGAATCAACTGACGGTTGAAAGCAGGAGCGGCCATAGCAGCGTCGAAGATTTTCTTGGCTATGGTGCTCGGGAGGGCCCGTAGTCCCTTGTGTGCGTCCGGGTCGTTTTCGGCGCGGCGATACAGGTCAGATTGTTGGTAGGCGGCCAGCGCGAGTTGGATGAGTGACGTGTATTCCACGGGCAACTTGACGCGTTTGTGGGCCGTTACCATTGCGGAGATGTAATTCTTGACTGAACCGCCAGCAATCGTGCCTGAGTCGAAGAGCCAACCGAGGTACCTGAGCAAAGATCCTTCATCCGCAGCCCATGGATCGATCCTTTCCAACGTACAGAACCTAGCCCACTCCTGCCAGAATCGCTCATTGCACTTCCAGGTGTTGGGCGCCCGAGCGCGGTGAATTAGACCAGCGATAGTAGTCCCTCCGCCTGAGATTCCGACTCCGGCGGTGCGCAGGACTGAGCCACGAAGCGAAGCAGCTAGGGGAAGTTGCTGCGTATCGTCCAGACGGCTATTTTCCATGGTGGGGCTGGCAGGTGCTGTGGTGCCCACAATGGTGGTAGATAGACGTCTGGCGCGTGAAACAGCTGAAACGTTCCAATTTCCTTGAGGCGACGACACCACGACTGAGCGGGCCACTACGGGGTGACCAGCAGGCCCTCTGCCGATTCCTGAATGATCTTCTCCACGAAGAGTGGAATGAGCTTGAGCGGTGGGTTCCAGAAGTTGACCGTCTGCCCCCAATGTTGCTGTAGCGCATCGATTCCTGAGGATCCCGGGGAGCGGTAGCGGCTGTTGAACCGACAGCAGATCGTTGATTCTTGATCCGCAAACCGGTCGATTGTTGGATCCATCTCGTGTAAGAGCGCCCTGATTGTCCAGGTGTTGATCCTCCAGTCTTCCAGTGAACGCAAGCGAGAGAGGCGATCTCCGAAGCGGTTGACGGCAGAAGGGACGTATCGTGACTCGATTGAGATGCCCAGCTTGAGCAGCACCTTGTGTAACGCCCGCAACTCCTTCATGAGGGCCGGTGAGCGCGTGGTCATTGTGTTGAGTATGTGGACCATGGCCTGATTGTCCTCCCATACGAGGAGATGGGTCCCCGTTCGGAGGTCGTCTGCGAATGCCTTCAGATTGTCCGTTACTGCCCTGAGTTCCAGAAAGGTGATGGGCTTCGTACGCAGATGCGGATCCCAAAGCCCTTTCGCTTCCCATACCCCTGGTTCCCCTATCCTTAGGTCGTGTCTCAGTGTCACTCCCATCCCAATTGAGGTTGATGCATCGGAGTGCATTGCCATTGCGGCCGTTTGGTGATGGAGAGGGCGCGTAGACGGTGATTTGACCAATTCCTTCCAGTGTACCAGGTCCCGGGTGGCTGCCTGTTGGAGCTTCACGCGCCGCTTCGTTGGTCCCCGTAGCAAGTCGTACAGTGAACGGGTGTAGAAGCGGGCGAGAGGCATGGCCAGAGAGCATGAGGTGGCCACCCCGAGGAAGTGGCGTAACAATGATGTTTCCACCAACCGACGGTTCTGTCGGGCTTGTTGTAGCAGTTTCCGAGCGATGGCCTGAATCCTCTGAATCCGTTTGTCCGTTATCCCGAATACCTGAGCCTTGGTGTCGATCACGAAACCGAGGTGGTCCAACCGTTGCGACCTGTCCCAGCAGCCTTTGCCTGGCTTTCTGCGGAGACCGGTTTTCTGCAGCAGTTGGTCCAGGAGCCGCTGTGCTCTGTGGAGTTCGGTGTGGCTTGGAATTTCCACCAGAAAATCGTCCATGTATGGGTGGATGCGGAGATTGAGTCGGTCTCGGATGTACTCGACGAAAGGTCGCATGAACTTGACGAAGTAGAACGGAGATAGCTTCCATCCAAACGGTAGGGCGATACAGCGAAAGTAACGTCCATTGATTCTGAAGAGGAACCGGTTGCGAATAGCCGGATGTAGCCTGAAATGATGGTACCCTTTCTCTACGTCGAACGAGAGCAGGCGGTCTTTCGGCTTGATTTCCAAAGCGAAGGATTCCAGTGTCTCCATTTTGACGGGAACAGACCGAAAGAGACCTGACTGTCCTTTGAGGTTGACGACCAATCGTCGCTTTTCTGCGCGCACGATGAAGGCGTTTGAGATAGGGAATCCTTGCTTGTTGAGGCGGTGAGCCTCCACCGGGGAGATTTCCTCGTAGATATGGCGGCGCGTGGCATCGGTGAGTTCGTTGCGTAGCCAGTCCAAATCCAGAGGTTCCACCGGGATCTCGGGGAGTACGAAGCGTGTGGCCAATTTGGCTGAGTTGACCGGTTTCTCGTACACCCCGAACTTGATGGCTCGGACTAGGAAGTCCGGAGCCCTGAGCCCTTCGGCCCAGAAACGTGCTTGGCGGTGTGGGTTGCACCATAGCACAGAAGGGTCCGGTTTGCGGACCATTACTTGGAGCTAGACCTGGAAGAGCCTGAGCCACCTGAGTTGGGGTTCCGCGGCGGATAACGCTGTGCCCCTTTTCCTGAGAGTCCCCTTGAGACACGTCCTGTAGCCTGTGTTCCTGAGTTGCGAGCAGCTTGATTGTTGAACTCCTTGTCGTAGGCCTGGGAGCGGAGTTCGGCAAACTTTTCCTTGGTGTCCCTGTAGAGTTGGGAGACGTAGGGCTGATCTTGCTCAAGTAAGTACTTCTGGAAAAGTGCCGCCTCGGACTTGCCAGATTCAACAGAGTTGGAGAAGAAGTCGACTCGTTCCTGCACCCGTTCGTATGAGGCTTGGAGATAGTGGTGTAGGACTGAAAAGGCCTCAGTAGTGGCTTGAGTGTTTCCAGTGGACAAAGCCTCCGCCACTTTGTGAGATGCGGCGAGGGCAGTTGCCCTGTTGTAACCGATGTTCCAGAGTACCTCAGCTTCGCAACCGTCCCTTGTATCCGATTTCTTGATGCGCCCGAATAGCTTCTCAGTTTCGGGAATGAAGCGTTTGGACGGGAATGGGGCCTGGTTAACAGGTTTCTGGAAGAGGTTGAGTTTCTCAGTTTCCCCGTATGGTTGGCGTGTGGCGACGGTGTCAGCGATTTCTTGAGCAGTCGGAGCTGGAAGAGTAAACTGAAGTTCCCGGTCGGCGTAGACGGCGTGAACAGATGTGAGCTGCGGTGGGGCAGGGCCCGAGTGGGGGGTCCTGGCACCCGGTTGCTCGGCGGCTGGTGAAACCGGCGGAGCGGCTGGATCCTCAGCGGTAGCGGCAGTAGGGGCCGTACTAGCGGGGCGGTTCTCGAGCAGCGACAGAATCTGGGGGACCTGCGTTTCCAACGAGTTGACCTTGATGACGAAAGCAGCAGATGGAGGGCGACTGGTAGAAGGCTGGTTTTCCAGAGTTGGCACTGGGCCAGAGATGCCTGCGGATCCGGACGAAGATTGTTCTTCTTCAGCATTAGGCATAATGCGCAAGTCGTTGACAGCCGGCCGTGACGATGATCCGTCTGGAGCTTGTTGAGTTGTGAAACGAGAACAAGCGACGACTTGAGGAAGAGAGAAGAGTGGTGAGAGAGTTTTTGACGTGCCTCTCTTATACAGCCCTGTTTTCGGACAGTGGCCGAATTTCATTTCTGCCAAGTTCCATGACGCGAATCAAGAATCATTTCCAAGTCATAGTGGGGGTGCCAAACCATGGCGTGTGACTTGGCGCTGATTCTTTTTCTGCCAAGTTTCATTACGCGAATGAAGAATCATTCCCAAGTCATATTAGGACTTGGTGCTGATTTTTGTTTTGCCAAGTTTCATTACGCGAATGAAGAATCATTCCCCAAATCATGGCGTGTGGCTTGGCGCTGACTTGTCGCCAAGTCATCCTGACTTGGATTTGTACGGCTGAAATGGTCCACTTGTTTTCCACTTTCTGCTGAGTTGTCGTGCGTTCCAACCGAAAAGCCCCCTTGTCCAGATTCACCTTTCAATTGCCAATGAATGCACTAAAATGCCATTAAATTTCGTGAAATTGAGTCAAAATTGGGGGTTTTTTGTACAAGAAAGGGTTTATTGCTTTCATTCGATTGCTCATGCCTACGTAGCTCTCCCTCCCCCTCATCCACTACTCCTCCTTACCCGCTGAGTGATCACCACTGATCGCCGCCTTCATCAGTCCACTCCCCAGTGCCCCCAGACTTGACCTCGGACCAGCCCCACCCGCCTCGTCCGACTTATTCGCACCGGCACTCAAGTCCCGTTCCACGTCCACATAGCTATCACCTACAAAGCTTGGTAGCCTGCTCTGCCCCACCTTTGCCGACGAGATCGTCAGCGCCGTCATCGACAAAAAGTCGATTACGTACACCACGTACATCATCCGGCTCGTCTCGATGTTCCTCCCGAGCATGGCGGGTCGCCACACGCGCGCCCGGTAGTTGAGCCCGACCAGTATGTAGAACACCAGCTCGCAACCAAACACGAAAAGGTCCTCCTGATCGCGCGCCTTGAGCACCGCACAGAAGATCACACCGATGAACACAGGGAACACCACCGCCGCGGCCAGCTGCAGAATCACAAACATGCTCTCCGACGCCTCGTACAACGTCTGCAGCGGGTCCTGCTGCAACAGAATCCCGGCGATGCAAAGCCCGCTCGAAAACGCCGTCAGAAACACGTTCCCTAGTAGCACGTATTGCCGCAGCGACACCGACTTGGTCACCGTCACTACTGTCGACATCGTCACGAACACGGGAAACCCGATCAGCCCGATACAAAGCATCAGCGCCACGACGCTGCCATACTGGGACGGCAGCAGATGATCCACGCTCTTCTCCACGCGCTTCTCCAGCAGCGCGAGCCGGTGCCTCATCTTGGTCACCTTGGGCGCCATATACTTCCTGGCGTAGAACTTCATGGCGTCCGTTTCCGGCGTCTCGACCAGAATGGCCGCCCTCTCCGCGCGCTGCCTGATCCACAGCCCGAGGTCAGGGTGCTGGATCTTCTCCTGTAGGTCGTGCAGTGTCTTCTGCTCCTCGTCCAGGATCTGCCCGAGCACCTGCTTCTCCTCATACAATTCATCAAACGCGCGCTTCCGCTCCTCGATCGCCGAGTTCAGCTCCTCCTTCTCGTTGTGATACTCTGTGCGCTCCGCCTCTAGCTTCTGCTCATACGCATCCCTCGACTGCTCCATCTCCATGCGCGCGGCCTCCGCGTCCTCCTTCTGGCCCTCCAGCGTGCGCGTCAGAAGCGTGACCTTCGCCTTGAGCGCATCCGCCTCCTTCTTCCGCTCCTCTGCCTCCCTTTTGCTCTCCTGCACCTCCTTCTGCACAGCCGCGACCTTCTCCTCAGCGGCCTCGGCCCTCTTCCTCGCAGCGTCGTGTTCGTCGGGTTGGTCAGGCCTGGGCACGTCCCTCTCCGCGCGCGGCGGGGCGACCATGCCCGGCGGGGGCGCGGCATCGACGGGGCGTTTGTCGTCGCTGCCGTGAAAGACGGCGGTGTCCGGGACGTCTCGCAGGGTCTCGCGCTCCATGTGCTTGAGCTCGGCCAGCTCCTTGTCCGTGAGGCTCAGGCTCTTGAGGGTGTCCGTGAGGGTGTCGCGGCCGGGCTTTGCGCGGGCCTGGCGGCGCAGAGGGTCGTCCTTGAGACCCAGCTCCTCGATGTCAGCTTTGGAGAGAGCGATGGAGTCCGATTCGTCGTCGGGGTCGTCGTCCAGGGCGCGCGCGCAGCAGCAGAGGGCCAGCGCAAGCAGGAGGTGGAGGAGGAGCGGGAGGGCGCCGCGCCACGTGCGCAGGCGCGCCATGGGGAGAAAGCGGTGCGGAAGGGGAAGGTGCGGATGCAAGGTGGGATGGGCGGGCGCGATGTAGTGCGGTTCGGTCGGGCGGGGTCGGCGGATTTAGAGACCGCCGGAGTGTCGGGTGGGTGAACGGAAGGCGGGCCGAACGCAGGGAGAGGAAACCAGCAATGAAAAAGTAAGGCATGGGCGATTCTCGGCATGCGGCGCGGTTATTTATGGGGCACAAACGGGAGGCCGCGTCGTGGTCGACTTGAATTCAAGTGGAAAATAGGGACGACTGGACAATAGTGTAAGTACTGTAGTTTATGGAATTTGGGACCGCCCTTCTCCAACGGTCCAGGCGCAGCCGGCCGCGATCGCGCAGTGCTTCGAGACCCCGATATCAGCTAAATACCCTCCTTCCTGCCTACTCAAAACTAAACTTGGCGTACTTGTCCTTAATACTCGCATACTTGTCGCGAATGGCAAGCATGTCCCTCTGCAGAGCCTCGGGCACCAGCGTGCCGCCGTTCTTCCCGACGGCTATCGTACCCTCATGCTCCAGCTATCCGGCCGTGTAGATCCTGCCGAGGCCCTTGGGATCCTTCTCCGACTCGCGCAGCTGGCGCAAAAACTTGCCCATGTTGTTCTTGAACTCGCCCACGGGCAGGAATCGCTCCACGTCGATCGCGATGAAGAAGTGGCCCAGCGGCATCGCCTTCTTGTTCCCCGTAGCCTTGTCCACGCCGCTCAAATCCGGGCTCGTGGTCCCGCTGCACAACGCCGATGACAAAAGCTCCACTACCGTCGCGTATCCGTACCCCTTGTACCCTCCCATGTCGGTGCCGACACCCCCCAGCGGGGCGAGCGAGCAGTAGCCCGTCTGCAAGTCCTTCAGAATACCGTCCGTGTCCGTCCGGACGTTGCCGTCACGATCGACGACCTGGCCCGGCGGCGTGGGCTTGCCCTCCCTCGCGTACTTTTCAATCTTGCCTCTCTGGTTGACGCTAGTAGCACAATCCAAGATAAACGGAAACGGGTCATCACTGGGCATGCCAAACGTGATAGGATTGGTGCCCAGCATCGGCTGCACGCCAAACGTCGGGGCGATGGAGGGCCTAGCATTGGTGCCCGTAATCCCGATGCACCCGTGCTCCTGTGCCTTATCCACGTAGTACCCTGCCGCGCCATAATGCGTGCTATTCCTCGTGACGACCATGGCCAAGCCATGCTTCTTCGCCTTCTCAATGCACATATCCATACATTTGGGCCCGATGTACAGCCCCAGGCCTCCGTGCCCGTCAACCACGGCGGTAGTCTCCGTCTCAACGATGACCTCGAACGGGGCGGTAGGCTTCAAAATGCCGGCGAGAATGCGATCGATATAGATGGGCTTGAGGCGGCCGATGCCATGCGTGGACACGCCATGCAAGTCCGCCCACTCGAGCACCTCGGCGGCGACGGCGGCCTCGGGCGGCGGCACGCCGGCGGCCACCAGCGCGTCCTGCATGAAGGCGCGCAGTTGTACGAGGCGTCAGAGAGCATGTTTGTGATTCTGCAGCTGGCCGCGGCGGTGATGTTCCCTGTGTTCATCGGTGTGATCTTCTGTGCGGTGCTCAAGGCGCACGATCAGGAGGACCTTTTCGTGTTTGGTTGCGAGCTGGTGTTCTACATACTGGTCGGGTCCAACTACCGGGCGCGCGTGTGGCGACCCGCCATGCTCGGGAGGAACATCGAGACGAGTCGGATGATGTACGTGGTGTACGTAATCGACTTTTTGTCGATGACGGCGCTGACGATCTCGTCGGCAAAGGTGGAGCAGAGCAGGCTACCAAGCTTTGTAGGTGATAGCTATGTGGACGTTGAACGGGACTCGAGTGCCGGGACGGGACTCGAGTGCCAGAACGGGACTCGAGTGCCGGTGCGAATAAGTCGGACGGGGCGGTTGGGGCTGGTCCGAGGTCAAGTCTGGGGGCACTGGGGAGTGGACTGATGAAGGCGGGCGATCAGTGGTGATCACTCGGCGGATAAGGAGGAGTAGTGGGTGAGGGGGAGAGGGAGAGCTACGTAGGAGCAATCGAATGAAAGCAATAAACCCTTTCTTGTACAAAAATAAAATTGAATGACAACGGTATGTATGGGTGTGAAGTCTGGCGATCTACACCCACGCAGGAAATTCGATCATGGACATACAGCACGTACTCAATTCTCCAGTGGAAGACTGGCGGCGTTCCATGCATTGTACCCACCCTCGACATTGGTTAGTTTTTCAAACCCAGCCTTCTCCAGCAAGCCGATGGCCATCATACTCCTCCCCCCAGTCTTGCACCCGACGAGCAAATCTGCGTCCTTCGGGAACAGGTCGATGACATCTTGCACGAACGTATCAACGGGTTTTGTAAAGTCGAGTGTGACGGGGACATTGACGGCGCCAGGCGGATGGCCGGCCTGAAACTCGGGGGACGTACGAACGTCAAGATACTGCGGGGGAGACTGCTCCTGCAGCCGCTCGAAGGCCACGGCGGGGGAGGCGGAACTGAACATGGCGGTCGAGGCGGGGCGATGGACACACGTGCGGGGGAGAGTACGTCGCAAGGAGGAGTGCAAGAGAGCGGAGTGGAGAAAGGCGTACATGGCGATGGAGGACAGCGAGACGAGCATGGGGGGGCGTTGTGTAAGTTTGAAATGCAAGGCATGTGCGGAGGGGGGGGC